TATTTGTTAGTGAAATCGATTAGTATAAATAATAGTGAAAAGTTTATAATATCAAATACTAAATGCATTTTTAAGCTAACCCCACATAGTATCAGATACTGCACTTTATTTATAATAATAATTTTAATTTGAACTTTAATCATAAACAATTTGAAACTATTTATTCGCACTTCATAAAATACTAAAACAAAATACATTAAATTGACACTACAATTTTGCATTGTTCAAAATAATTATTTTTTTCGCTGTATAATTATGATAGTAAAAATAAATTTTTCACAAAGCTATTTTCATTAACTTTTTTAGATATTTAAACGTTTCGATTAAACATTTTATTTTTATTTAAAATCATAAACATACCACATTATATTATATCGTATTACCATTATCTCGTACAACGGTGGTCACTGTCTTACACTCTTACGGCGAATATGAATGGATTCGGATGTAGCATACTTGTAAATGATTTTCTGGAAATCTGTGAAGCTTTTATGTTCAATCTCTTCAATTGTTTATAATTCGTCGATTGATATATCAATACATGGGGTGTTGTTCAACATGACGTATTTCACGTACTCGGAGATATGTAGGTACCTATATAATATTCTGCCGTTGAGAGGGGTAATACATCATTAAATTGAGAAACACGGGCGCGTTCGCGTGTGAATAAAATACGAAACTAAAGTCCAGACCGGCGGAATCTGTCAATTTTTTTCTATTTTAATTTATATTGCATACACAAAAACTAAAATATATAATATATTATTCGCGAAACGGTTTTTACCTCGATTTTAATCGAACGCACTCATATATTAAATATACAATGGGTCCGTGTATCCATACATATATGTGCATTATTTTTTTTTTTTTTTTTTTATATATTTTACCTTTTTACAGTTTATTTCAATCGCCGTATACAAGCAGACCCGTAGGAGAATTTTTTTTCGCCCGCGTGCCGTACGCATATATATCGTGTAGCGTTCGTGGCCGGAGTAAATTGGAAATTAATGTGCGGGCGTATTCGATTATTCAAAACAATTCCACACGATGATATGCTGTCGTCGTGCATATAGAATAAAAGGGGTCGCCGCCGCCGCCGAGCGAATAATTTTAAATCGAAGCCGAAAGGGAGACTTTTTTTTTTATATTTATTTTTTGTTATTATTTTTTTTTTTTTTTACATTGGCGTTAATGGAAAGTCCTGTAATAATTGATGATCCGGCGAATGTGCGTTTATTCTTCGGCTGCAGTGCAGGCGGCTGTGGCGAAATATAGTCTGTATATCATACACTTTTGAGTATAATAAATGTTGATTAATTTATTTCGTCGGGACTGTACATGTATATAGGGTGAATTAAGTTTTGATTCAAACTCTATCACTAATAACATAGTTATTGTTATTAATTTCTCGTTATATATACCTGCGGTAATCGCGAATTTAATATTATAGGTATATTATTTTATTGCATAGTATGCATCGCTATAGTGACACGAGTCGTGATTACACATATCAGATCTATTGGGTATATAATCACTTAAAATGAAAAGTCTTGTCAGAACCCTCATGTTTTGTATGTTGATTTTTATCGGCTGTTATGACGTGTTTATAATGACCATGTTATGGATGTAATGACGCTTATTTTTGGTAAATTTAGAAAAATAGTTAGTATATTATGGCCAAGTGCCATATAACTGCGGTTTATAACAAGAACACCTAATTTTAAATATGAAGCAAAATGTATTCAGTGTCAAATGCTATGGCCATTAATAATAAAATAAGTTCAAAAACAAACTCTGAACAACTATAAATGAAAATACATAATTTTTATTAAAAAATGCATGTTAAAATTTTACAAGCTTGAATTACAGTTTTTTTTATACAGTATAAACTTAATAAATATTAATGCATGTAATACAAATATACTTATATTTTTTAATAATACTGCACACAATATATATGACTACTGTTTTCTAATGACTTTTTTCCTATGTTGGTTGTTATTATTTATTTTTTCTTGGACTCTTGAACGTTATAATACACGATTTTTAAAATGTCATTGACTTACACATATAATAATTATATGACGTATTCAGGGTCATCGGAAAAAAAAGTTAGAGTGTGTACGTATCTCAGACGTTTAATAACGCAAATTACGGTCGGAAAAGTTGACAAATTATATGCCTTGAAGCTTAGTGCGATTAAATGAGTGATTTAAATCAATTTCATATTTTATTTTAAACTATTTATGAGATGTAACGTCGAGGTATACCGGAACTGGCTGTGTTCTTAAGCATTTTTTACCGCTCTGTTTACTTTGCAATAAACCTCAATAGGATCCACTTTCTGTAATTTCTTTCGAGGCTGTTTCACTAAGGGGACGCTTTCTTGTCATCATTATTATTCGCACAATTGAACGCATAATTTATTGTTTAAATGTGTAACAGTAGTAAAAGAAATTTGATAATAGCTAGACCTGTTGTATATGTAACGTTTGTTTCATACATAATCAATGACAAAGTAACATGTCGTCTACGACCAATATTACATCATGTATTCTCAGACATAGTAGGTACTCTAATATTATCCCGAACATGACTGTTTAGGTACGTATGATTGAACCACCATTTCTTTGCACTACCCTATCTACCTTGTTTTACAATAAATAGTAGGTAAGTACATAAATATGTGTTCGACTTGAAAGTTGGATATCAGTGTAAAGTAATCAACCTATAATAAATATTGTGCGATAGAGAAAAATTCTTTGAAATTCTTCTTGATTTATAAATACCGAACTTGAAAAAGACGAAATTGATTTGTGATTTTTAAATAAAAAATATTTAATTTTCAGAAATCTATACCTATAATAGTCGATATCGTATTTTATAAACAGTTTGTTTTTTTCATAGTCATTTTAGACGCAATTGAACTCTATTACAAGTTTATAGTCAAATAGTTCGAATATCATAATAATGGCATGTATACGCTAATATAGTTCGTATATTTTTAAATAGAATTAGGTACTGGTTGTTCCGCTTATCAGGAAACGTTTGTTTAAAAGCACCGAAACCACTTAAAAACATACGTATTTTTTATCATTTTTTCTCACATTTAACGTTTCATCGAAACTGTTGCGGTATGCCTATTACTTACATCATCAATTATACACATATTACGAATGATATACATGTATTACAAGTTACAACGAACCCCTTAAAAATCGTTATCGTATCGCACTCTTATAATATATTATATTATATAAATTACGTCCCGTTGCTGTGCACATTTCATGACCCTCGGAAGTGTCGAAATAGTCGCGTCATTATACGACCTTGAATTCAGGAAAATTTCGACCTATGATAGTGTAGAACACCGTGACCAGTGTTCGGGGCCTGATTTATGTTTTTACTATTATTATTTAAGGCAGAAAGTGCGAGAAAAAAATCACGTTGGTTATTTCTTGATCATAATGCATATGCTATTATTGTATTATGGATACCTATAAATAAAGAGTAAATAAATTAATGATGGGTACACATAAGATGTAAATTTATTTATTTATTTTAATTCCAATTTGTTCAGATCACTCACTAACTAATTTAATTTAAGTATGACGTGTTATGTTCATATTCCTAGAAATACTTTTTGAGCTATAATAAAAAAAAAAACTTAAATCGTATAATAAGAAGAATATATTAGTTATGCATGGATACTCTATTTTATAAAAATTTAAACTTTAGACCACATAAAATAATATTAATTGTTAAGTTACACAATTATTTTTTTTTATATTGTTTTTGTAAGAATAACTTTAAAGAAATCATTTTTTAGTTTTTTTAAATTTTAGTTATGAATATCAAGTATTTTATAAATTTTGTTTTACAAAATGATTTGAAATTTTTGATGATTTAGATGAATATCGTAAAATTTTTTAAATTTAAACACTTATAACTGGTAAATGAACTTTTAATGAGAAATCTTGTATTAAACTTTTTAGTTAAACAACAAGTTGTTGTTTGTTAACAAAAAGAACCAAAATTGTATTATGGTACATAAATAAAAATATCCAAAAAAAACAGAAAATATTGTTCAAAAAAAGCCAAAATATTTTTAAAATTATTTTATACCTAATAAATATTAATACAGAATTTCAAGTTACAATTTTTATTAATTTTTTAATTCCAAAAAAAAAAAAAAATAAATATATAATAATATTAATATAAGTTGTATTGAAATTTGATTTTTGTAAAAATAACCACACTTTTCACATAATTTTTTTATTTTCTAGAAAATGATTAAAAACTTTGAATCGTACACTTTTAATTACTCTCTCTCTCTCTCTCTCTCTCTCCCAAAATATCAATCCTAAAAAAATAAATAGATCTAATTGGTTATTATAAATCACTCCCAAAGTTGAGAATTGAAGCATTTTTACTGTTCCAAAAGGTTACACGTACGAAAAAAACTTCCATTATGAAATAAATACGTTCATCGCTGATTCTAGATTCTAAAAATAATTAATCCACGATATTTATGATATTCAGTTGTTTCACTATTAGTTTTTAATAGTATTGATTTAGATAAGCAATACAATTTTGTTCTCAATAATAAAGACGTTTATTTTTTAAACTAAAATAATGAAAACATGTATGACAAAACACAGTCTGTGAGCCTTGCGATTGTGTACTTGCAGCCTCTAATTCGTGATATGCGGTAAACCGAAAACAACCACAAGCTCATTTAAAACTATCGGACCAGAGCAAAACCAGGGCCAGGTTATCTTAGGTTCGCGTATACCGGACCTGAGTGCCGCGTGCGTGATCCTTCAACGTCTGTTGCAACCAGCATTTACATTTCACCAAACAGAAAAGGGTCGTGGAAAACACATATAAATATATTACTCGATTTACCAACCACCCGGAATACGTGTGATGAGATCCACGCGGCGAAGTTACGCATTTCTGTTGCCGCGTTTACGCGTTACTTGAGGTGGGAAGACGATTCAAGTGACGTTTGAATTCCCGCAGTCGGCTACTTCCACCCTGAGATATCCTTGTTGATTCGGAGTCAATGTGTATGTGATTGGCCGCGTTCGTTGGTTGCAACGGACGTTATAGGTACACACGCATGCGGTGCTCAGGTCCGGACACACGGCCGCGTGAGTTTCGTTTGCTGAGTGTTGTTCGATAATTGTTGCGCCAGTGTAATCGCAATTGGCGTTAATCACCTTCACTTTTACTCCTTCGTCGAAAATCATGGTGTCTTGATAACCTTCACAAACGGAACCACAGAATTTCATTGCTTCGGACGGAAAACTCACGTTTGAAATCTTGTCGGCATACATGTACACGTCAGCTTTGCACAAATGCTTGATTCTAGATTCTGGGAATTTTATGCCTGTAACGATGTAAAGTTGGGTTGATGATATTTACAAATACCGATACGCAGAGTTCCGCAAGTCATGGGGTTTAGTGAATATTTGTCACGACTTTTCTCGCTAGCTTTTTCGAATTATTAACCGGAACCGCATAAGGACAATTCAAAAGAAAAGAAAAAGATTCCGGCAAACCTATATTTATAATAATAATATATAATATATCAGCCACTTTAGCCAATCGCTCATACTTCTAGTGCCTCCGATAAGGAAATATTATAGGTGTTTCCTATAATATTTTTAGTGTAATATGTATCATTTACGCAATGTTATTACACGCGCAAGGATGTGTTGTTGAAATCAGAGTAAAAAATAGTAAATACGTAACGAACCTAAGATCTCGAGTGGGTCTCGAAATTTTCCTTCACCACACGGCGGTGGTACATTGTACATTCGTTCTACATTATTTTTCGACGGACATTGACATTTTTCGTCTGAAACGATAATTGAACGTACAATAAAATACAACCATATGCCTAAGTTATACTCATTGTTTGGAACATCAAATTTGATAAAAAATAAAATGTCCAAATTATACACTTATACGCTATTATCAACACGAATATGTTTTAGAACTTTACTATTTAGCCGGAGCGGATGACTGACGATCGATTGTAACAGCAATAACAGTGTCAAAACTACTTGGAACATTTCTTCTGTATATTTTGAAAACATAATATCAGCTTGTTTAATACTCGAAGAATAAGAAAAATAACGATAAAATATTGAGTTACTTGCGTTAACTACATATGTATTCAAGGGACTCGGCTGTATGAATAACTCGACAAATAATTATTCGAAAATAAATATTATTTATAATTTGTATTATAATACGAGTTACTATGGAATCGATTTTTTCGAACACTTGGAATATTGTATTAGCCGTATAAATTGTTGTAGGTAGATAATCATCGATCACTATATTGGCAAACAATAATACGATAATAAAATTTGCATGCTGACACACAAGAAAACGCACAATGTCAGTACTTAATGTAATAATAATCGATAGATTGTTGTGATAAATTTTAGTTATGTGCAAATACATTTAAAATTTGTAAATAAATTATATTCTATTTTTAGGTGAGGACTTCAGTATTTTGAGCCATCTAATGGAAAATAAGGGAGTTAACTGATCCACAGCCTTAGGTTTTAGTCGCAGGGCAATGATTGTGTTTATTAAAAAAAGGACATCAATTTAATTCTTTGATTTTTTTTTTGTGTGTGTGTCTGAAGACACTTTTTATAGTAGAAAAAATGATTAAAACTTAAATGAATGTAGTTGTTAGCAGAAAATTTGATCTATATGGTACTTTAAGAATGTATTTAAAATTACTCAAAATTTAGAAGTAAACAAATTTAAAGTATTTTTTATAATATTCAGGAAAAACTAGATATTTTTTACACAAGTCAGGTTTTCAAAATTATTATTTTTAGTCGAAATCAAAAATAATTTGCTGTAGAAATTTAATTTCTTTTTATATTTTCCTATTTTAAAAGTTTCAATAGATATAATTTTGAAAATATTTTAACTATTTTTGTGTTCTTTATAATTAAATATTTGAAATGCTCAACGTTTTTAGGTTTTTTCAATATTTATGTATGGTTAATTTTTTTTTTTTTATTAAATATAATTCCATGTTTAGTAGTTTATTTTGTAATTTAAAAACCCAGAACATAACATTATTTTTTTATAAATTTTGTTACAATTACGAATACTGCTTGCAAATGATTACGTAGTTTTTTTTTTTTTTTTTTTTTTTTTTATTGAAATTAAACCTAACGCAGTTAAAAATGTATAAACAATTTTCAATTTTATTTGTTACAATTTGTAAAATGAATGCATGTTGGAAGTTAGGGTAGGTTAATAGGTCGAATAGTTCTCATCGATTGTGCAGATGGGGTAAGCGTTCAATGAAAGTGCAAGGGAATTAAAACGGATGTAATGTATTGCTATATTGGAGACAGGATAACGAGGTTATATATGCATTTCCTATAGATATTATAATGTTGTAAACCAGTATTAGCATGATAAATATACTAGTTCCGAAATAGATCTTTTCCAAGTTGCGAATTTATATTAATATTTTATTAATTATTATAATAATTTGACGAAATACGTTTCTCACGTATTTTAATAATTATAAAAATTATTAGTACCTATTATAGTGTATACTGTATACATTTAGTATATGTCTTTTATGGCTTATATACTTAAATTATTTTGATTTCTAAACGTGATATTGGTTTAGGGATATCGAGTGTGGATTTTGAATACCAAACAGCTACATGAAAACATGCCCAATCGTTCACCGCTAGGTAACATTTACTATTGGACTATTGGTATTTGATAATAGATACATTATAATAAATGTTATTATAATATTTAATTATCGCGAAGATTATAAATGGAAATGGAAAAATCTAATAGTAGACAGTAGATGTGATGTTGTGCTTGAAAAAAGCTAGTAACTACTTTGCATAAACAATTCGTAAAATTATACTCAAATGAGTTGTTTTTTAGACAAATGTGCGCAAAGTAGTTGTAGCCGCAGTTAATTACTCACCGGACTAATTTCCTGCTGGTCCCTCAGACCTATGGTTTTTAAACTTCACAAAGGTATGTGTTATTTCTTTAATATCCAACACAATTTTTTTGTTTGTAACTTGTCTGCACACATTTTTATTCAGAACGATTTTATATCGTTATCCGTTAATTATTGTCTTGGAAATAGTGGCCATAATATTAACAGTTATGTGCCCACATGGACAAAAGTTCAATCATTAAAAATTAACAATGCATTCATACGAACGATAAAATATTCAGAATAAACTTGCATACACTATTATAAATTAACATACTTGTTATACATTGAAAACTGACAAGTCACCGAAATATCATCGTAAAAGTTTTCTTAAATGTTTTTTTTTCCTTAATACAATGTCAACTACAGAAGGTTCAAGCATAATTTATTAGCACCTATAAATATTAACACTTCGTATGAATATGTTTTTAATGGATTTAGAATACAATAAATATAGTTTGTTTTTTTTTTACTTATATTTTAATATTTTTTTTTACTTATATTTTAATATCGATGAAATAAATTTAGTCAGTTAATACCTTAATATTGACATAGGTACTGCTACTAAATTCGTTATTAATATTATTATAATTTCTTTTTAAAAATATTGATCGGTTCATTTATACTGCAATGAAATAGTTCCAATGGTATAATTGGGTAGGATGAAAGTTCAAGTATCTTGATATATAAGTTTTTTTACTTATGTTTATCAAGATATTATATTTATATCCAAACTACGAAAGTGAAATTAATTTTATTAGATCCGAAGACACATTTCGAGGCATTTTTAAATTAAGTTTTAAATTTATCTAACATATCTAGGAATTGTTTGAATTTCACCCCTCAAAAATCATTCAAAATATGTCATTGATCAGTTTTAACGTTTATAATAACGAGCAAAAAGAATATTATGGTATTACTCTAATTGAAACTACAAAAAATCAATTACTAATTTAAATACTGCATGCAAAATCGTTCTCCTGCGATAAAATTTTAAGCTTGTTTTTTATCACTATTAAAGGTAATAGGTATATTTTATTTATTTATGTTAATATAACAACTCACAATAGTTAACAGAAAAAATGTCATTATAATATATTATTATGAATAATCAATTTAACTCGGTTTTTTCTTATGACTTATTTAATTAAAAAAAAAAAAAAAACTTTATATATTTATTATTTTATTTATAAAACATATTCAAAGTTATTGAATTTATTTTTACACCCAAAACAATTTTTAAATACATATTAATATAATATATCGTATGAGTTTGCATATATTTTTGGTTTTTAGTAATTTTACATACGTATTGTACAATTATCTTAACTGTAAATATATCAATAGAATATTTAAAAGAATTGACAGGCTACTGCAGCTGATTAAATTCGAACGGAAATACATAAGTAGGGACGTAGGGTTAGAATACTCTAAGGGAAGAAGTATGGGTAAATGTTAACCGAAGCTAGGGCATTATATTATTATATACGTAATGCGGCGTAAGGGCGAAAACATTATAATAATAATTATGATAATTTTATTTATTATAATTATTTTATTTTTTTTTTTTTTTTTTTTTGCTAACTGAGTAGTACACAACTTAAGGCATTATATTTATTTTAATTTTTTTTTTTTACTTATCTATTATCTCTAGATATATACATATCGTTGTATTACCTTTGTATTGGTATTATCACGATTCGTATTTGTTTATAATATTTAATAACGAACAATTTCGCTCAACGTTAAATACTTAATCACTTTCATAAACTTTTGATAATATATACTCGTAACTCATACTTGAAGTGTCTCTATGAAAAAAAAATTCGAAAAACTGTTTTTTATTTTCTAGAAATAAAGTTTTTTTTGTAAAAGGATCAAAGCTAGTCAGGATTAATGTATAACATTTTAAAAATTAAGAATATTAAAAAAAAAAAATCAACAAACATTAATTTAAAAATAAGATATTAAAGTTTTTAATTGTCACTAAACGTGTTTTTTTTAACCTATCCGTTTTTCCGTTCCCCTGTAGTTTTTTTTAATTAAAACTAAATTTTCACAAAAAATAACAATAAAAAGCTTTGTTTAGGATTACCTAATTACTTAAATTACTATTTAATTATTTAATATATGGTTTAACGTTATTCATTCGAACGACCTTTTGATTTCTTGGAATCTAAAATGAAATCCCTCTGATCCGCGATTAGTGATGTTTTCGTGTTAAAAAAAAATCTTCACCCGTGGTTGCCGTAGTGGTGTGCTGCCGGCTAACTCCCAACGGTCCTAAAAGGGTTTCGTTGCCTAAGCAGTCTTGTACATTGGAAAAAAAAATGTTTTCAACTTTAAGAATACGAGGAGGAAACTTTTATACAGTATATACATTATATACATTAACACTGTACACGGTAAACAAACGTGAATTCAATTTGTGCGTAAAAAACCAGTACAGAATTTATCAATGATTCACAGGTGCAAATAGCCTTAAATATATGGGGAGGGTGAACTGATTGTCCTGCAGAATTTCTATAATATACAAGATGTAAAAAAGTTGTTGAATTAATTATTCTATAGAAGATTATTTTTAGTACTATACTTGTACATAAAATGAGTCTAGGTGGAACTGTAAAACTCCATCATTTCTTCTGAAAAAACAACAAACACAGAAAACGAGTCTTACTTTTTACATCAACGTTACAGTTTTAGATGCAATATTCATATTTGTCTTGACATTTAAATTAAAGATGTTGTAATATTGATAATATCAGTTTGAATTAGTTTTGAACTTATAAGTTATAAACGCATAAAAACTTGTAGTTTGTCATTAATCAATATGATGTATAGTTGTAAATATTAAAGTTTCGGCTATATTTAATGTCTGTTTTTATGTTTTGCAATGTCGTCCTTTTTTTTACACATTAGGTTGTGGTTGATTGAGTGTTATACCATTTCTCAAGCATTTTTTATAAATTGTTGTCAAAAATATTTATTGTTTTTAATGTTTTTATATTAGTTTAGAAATTGTTTTCTTATATTTGTTGTAGTAAGCATAGTAGGTAAATAAGTTTAGTAATAACTACAATCAATCTAAAACTTGATTCATAAAATAAAACTGATGTATGGTTGACTAAGGTTGTAATCTCTTATGATAGCATATCTATTCTCTTGTCGATTGATATTGGTGATCCACAACAATAACTATTATTAATGTTCATACAATTAAAATCATATTGATAGATTCTTAAAAAAATATTTTTTGTTTTTGATATTTATGTGTCGTATTCGAAAAAAGATAAGATGAAAACCTGGAAAATCATGCTCTGGTATAATAATGCACCTCATAATAATTAAGTAAGTCACTATAATAGATGTGTATTGTGTACAACTAAATTCGATATTAAATATTATATCCTATTGTATACGAAAAACGATTTTGAGTTGAAGCAAATCATTAATCTAAATTTTTTACAAAGACAACTTTTATATTACTATTGCAGTCAGTTGAATAAATTTTCGCCGAAAACATCCCGACTAAATACGACACTTATTTAACGGTTGCTATATACTTATATTATAATATTATAGATATTAACGATTGTTATACGTCTACAATTGTGAAATTGTTAATCAATTTATCATGCATAGTCCAATGCTCATACCTGAAGTTGTATAACATAGAACGATAAATACTATTTCCGGTGACGTTATTTATATATCATGTATGTCCCAGGTTGACAAGTTTATTGGATTTGGTTACCCCGGAGATTTGTTTACGTGAGGCGTGACCATTATATTACGTCATGTTTTGGCGCGTTACTGTTTATTTGCTGATATATATTTCGAGAAAAATATCGAAATGTTTTAATTATTAAAAACATGCGATACATAACCAATATAGGTTGGTATTAATAATATTTTATGATAATATGTATTAAACAGTAGTGTAGACAGGCGATAGAAAACAGAAATGGCATGGTATCGGTTTATAATTTTATTTGAAAACACGCAGCAGATATTATGTTGCAGATGGCAGGCCTCTACAAGTGACAAACGCGAATTGGCGAGGACTGTGGGCTGCAATGTCCACCCCGTCAGTTTGAGGTATTTCGTCGAAGCCAGTCGAGCGATTTCGTTTTCGATTCGACGATGACAATAACGCGTGACTGCGATGGTATATATTATTCTCTTTTAAACCGGAAATTGCGGGGAGGAAAAATAAATATCGCAATGCCCCCCCCCCCCCGCCCCCCGCCACTGCCAACCACTACCACAATCACCGGGTGGCTTCAATGAAACACTCGTGCTCGGCCGAACTCCGTCTCCCCGTCACACCTACCCTCAAACTAACCACCCCTTTCCACCGTCACACGCCGCGGTCCGCGGCCAACCGGCACGAGTACGTATACGTACGTACGCACTCGGACATCGGACTTCGCGCACGCACGCACACGCGGACACACGTACGATACTCACGTACAATAATATTGGACTACATATAAACACACACACACACACAAACATATTATATGTGTGTACCCGCGCGCGCGCCGTACGTGTGTGCGAGTGTGCGCGAGCGGATCAATACACCAAACGTTTGCCAGTGTGTAAATATAATAATAAAGTGGTGTCTAGTATTAGTAGTAGAAGTAGTAGTAGTAGTAGTAGTAGCAGTAGTCGTAGTGTCTGTATTGGTATTAGTAGTAAGTATAAGTAGTGGTGACGGTGGTGGTAGTAAAAGTTTGGTAGTAGTAGTGTGTACGGTGTACAGCGTCGGCGGTTGTCCGCCGGCGGGCGGGCGGACCGTGTTGCAGGACGACGAGGACGAGGAAAACGGGAAAAAATAAAAACCGGTCGGCCGCGGGGGGGTGTTGGGGTGGGTGGAGCGCGTCGGCCGGCCGGTGGGCGAAAAAAACCTCGAGACGGCGGGCGGCGGTGGCGGAGTTTTCGTGAGCGTGAGATGATGTGTTATATACGCCGCGAAGCCGAGGGTTGTGACGGGGTAGCATCACCGGTGGTGGATAGGAAGAAGGTGGAAAAGTGCGAGATCGAGTCGATATCGGCGACGTGTGTATGTATGTGTGTGTGTGTGTGTGTGTGTGTGTATAGCTACGGCGGTGGCAGGTTCGTCGTCTCTAGCGCGTTGTTGCCGCCGCCGCGGGGACAATTGAACTTTTCCGATATAACAAGCGCCTCCGTCGTCATCCCCTCAGCCTGCGCCACCCCTAACGCCGCCGCCGCGAGGGGATGACCGGCAGAACAAATATGGCGCCCGTATTACACGCCGCGTATATATAGCTGTTATGATAAGGTGGTACGGAGGCTACGGTGGCGGTGGAGGCGGTAAGAAATACCGAGCGCGGCGTACGTGTACGAACGACGACGACTAGCTGCGACGACTGCGACGACGACGACGACGACGACGACGACGACGACGATGACGTCGACCGTCGCGCACCGCCGACGCGTCTCACCCGCGACCGTCCGAAAAGCCAAACCGCACACGGCGGCTGTACGGTCGCCATGGTGACGAGTGGCAGCGGCGGCGGGATCGAAGCTTTTGCGCTTCGCACCCCCTCAAGTTCACCGTCACCCACCCACCCATTCACCCACAGCGGTATATATAATAACAGCCACTATATATAATACGCGCGTACACACACACACACACACGCACGCACGCACACCTCTGCTACAGTGTCCATCGTTCGCCACCCGTCCACCCATATAACTACCACTAACCTAACCACCCACTCGCCACCACCGCACCCCGTCACACCGACAGGATATTACCGCGCCCGCGCGATCTCGAATACATATAATACACGCTCGAATAATACGCCACCACCGGACCCCGGACTACCGTTCCGGCCGGTTTTTTACAATTATATCAAAATGTTTTATAACATAATATTAAGTGTACAACGATGTACATAATAATAATAATAATGATATTATATCACTGGCAAACCACTTTTCCACTAATTTTCGTGCACTTTGTTGCCCGCACAAAATATGCGTCCGCGTTAAATTTCGTTGTTGCCTAACGCTAACGTTTAGCGTAACGCGTGTGCGGATAAATAATATTTCGTTTCAACTCTGTACAACTCTGTGCTCAATTGTTTCGTCTACCGTTGTTATTTTCGACCATTTAACGACAGTATTCATTTAAAATTAATTTCCTTTATTTTTTCGATACGACCCGAAAACTGTATGCACTTTTTTTATTTTGGACAAAAAACCAACTCATAAAGTTTCTCAATAGTGTGAATCAAAAACAACGAAATGTTGTGTACCGTTATGTACGCTACATCGACTATTCGTTAAAATACTGATTAGTGATTACTTATAATCGGTAATACAGACGCAAAAAAAAAAAAAGTATAATATTTTTATGTGCGTATTTGCTGATTATTTAAAAATTATCACTCGATTCCTGCGCTTTGTAGTACTCTTTCATTAAAAAAAAAAAAAAGAATCATAATAATCGGATAAGTAGTTTCAGAGAACACGCGTGACAAAGATTTCGATTTTCACTTTTATACGGATACACCGTGCGACGGAAAAGTCGTCATCGTCGTGGCCGGAAGATTGTTTAATATTTATGCGGTTTCCACGAACCATAATGCGGAAACATTATATCTATATATTATACGATACTTCACTCAGTAGTGGCGGCGGGATATAGGATTATTTGAAGCAATTGCTTCATGCCTGAAAGCCTTTTGGCCAATGCTACTTATTAGGGGTGGTGGTAAAAATATTTAAAATATACAACATGCTTCAAAGCTTCCACAATTTCGCGCCGTCACTTGATACTTGACTGCCACGCTGTACCGAGTACGATGACGACTGTTCAGCGGCCGACACGCGAGATGGGATTTTTCTCGGCACTCGGAAGCTGTTGCGATTTCACGGAAACGATGGTCCAAAAGGTATGTATTTTTCAATATAATATAGTGATTTTGGACCACTATTGTTTTTGAACCGTAACGGTTGCCGTCTGTCAACTGATGAAATGGACGGGTTTATACCAGCACAATTAATAGTCTCGTCCCGGACAAAACCGTAGACATACTACGAGTATTCTGCAAACGGTCAGGTCTGAGCTAAAATAACGAGCGGGATGAAAAATGGACTTTTGTTTTTACGTCGCGCGGGGTAAGAAAGCGTCACTCATATACACGCCGCCTAGGCCTCAAGATCGGAAACTATCGCGTCCGCGGGACACTGTCCGCTGTGTTTCCGTTATAAAAAATATATATATAGAACATACACACCGGTGGTTGGCGGCTGGCCAGATATCTTTGTTGATATTGATTGTCCGCGAGATTGGACGTATGAGAAAACGAACGTAAATTTAATAATATGAGGGGGGGGTACTACCCTCTTACTTGCTTGGATTCATATTATTATAATGATCGAATGTCGTTATAGTTTGATACCGATTGAAAATTAATTTTCATCGCATTACAAACACCACACCGAGCCATAAAATATTATAATACATTTTTTCAATTATTTTTTTTTCGTTAAAGTCTCGGTAGCTGAGCCGTTGTCTCGTTTAACTTGTCTTACAAATTGTTTTTCTAATTATTAAATAATAATTATGTATCTAAGTTAATATCAGCTGATTCGTAAAAATGTATGTATTCGATGAGTAATATATATTTTTAAAATATAGTGTCTTCGTCGTCGGCGGAACCAATCGAATCGTAAAGGTATTATCGTTTTTTGTTAAGCTTATTTATTATATTCGTGTTAAAAATATGTTTATTATTATTGTGGGACCTCATTATATCTATTTTAACATATTTAAGTACAAATTATTCAAAGACAATATAAAGATATCGATACGACCATATTATTGTACTGGAATTTTATATTCCAAAGTGTATGTACATTGTACATACATGTATAATTTGTAAACAAACGTATACCTTGGATACTTCGGATACATAAGCAAAAATAATATTTTACGTCGACCGAGACGTATTTTGATACTTATCATTATACCATATTATATTACACTGCACCAGTATAACCAGTCAATATCTTTACACACACAACTCGTAACTACCGAGACATTAAAAACGCATGTCAAACGTATATAAAATTATAAACAATATATGAGCTGTAAAAACCAACGGAATATAGTCACACGTTCATTTCAAACAAAAAATCAAATTACGTTATGGGTTAATTTTCAAATTGGTCAACAGGACATTTTGTAATGGATTAAAATATGATAGTACAGAATTATGTCTTTCTAAATTTATTTTAAAAATTAACTCGAATTTTAACCGCTGTTCCATAAAAATGATACAACGTTCCATCGAGTTTTTTTTCCATAACTCACCTATTCTATCTAAAGTAATAACTTAAATGCTGATTAATATTAAATATTTTATTATTATATGACTCGATATGTTCCAAAAGCCGTAGAATAATGCACAAAGATATCAAATGTAAATAATTATTTGAATTCAAATGCATATACCATAAAGATAATATATTATTAAAACTATACTAAAAAATAAATTATATGGGTACTCTTGGATTTTAAATACGAAATAAAAAAACCATTAAAGTGTACTTACGTATAAAAAGCATATTAGCATAATATACCTGTAAAAAAATTCACATATTTCAAACATCAATTCAAAAAACAATTAAAAAAAGCAAAATAAAATGTCAGTATGCTCTGTCCATAATTTAATTAAATTTAAACAAATTAATTTATATTGCTATAATTAATGGTAAATGTTAATAATTGTACATTGTTATATTATGTCCATGTAACACATGGATGTTCATTATATTTACTGAACCTCTCGCATTTTTTTCATCGATTATTTGTCCCGAAATATTTGAAATATCGGTGAATAAATTATTTTGTATATTATTATATTTTCACTATTTATCACAATGAGTCATCCATTTTATACAATGTGATAAAATACAATTTATGACTTGCAGTCACGATCAATCGAAATTCAGAGTCATACTTTTCTTGTTTGAAGCGGTTCACTGTTATTTATTCCATTTCTCTCATCGTTTCCATTGACGTTAAATGAAAAAACAGAAGACATATTTAGTCCCATTATGCACTTTGGTTTGTGACGGTTTTGAATTTCTATTGTATTGCCATCTAAGAGTTTTTTTTTCTAAAAAATATAAAATGCAATACCAGGATAAGTCGAAACGGGGCATTATTGACTGAAAACAAACAAACAAAAAAAAAAAAAAATCTCACCAATAATTCAAGATTCTGCGGACCGAGAATGATATTGGCATTGTATTATAGGTATCTGTAGCGCTTTATTATATACACACACCGACACTGATAAATAAATAAATAATGTAATTGGTAATATATTATACGGAATATGATAATATGATAATGACTATGAAAACAACGAAAAATCTAAAATTAAAACCACTTAGACCAAATGGGTTACATAATTTATTTCTTGAAAATGCATTTTGAGCAGGGCGAAACACTATAGTGTTCGATATTTTCAATAAACAACGTCTGAGCTATAAAAATGTCAAAACGAATACAATATTACATCGGTTTAGAATAGGTCACGGTAGCAAGTGTAAATTTTAAGATTAAAATTCGACATTTATGAAACCTTGACGTTTGCGTCTATAGCTTATTACTTAAACCCTGAAGATTGTATTGAAATACTGTCGACAGTACAAGTATACTCGTATAAGTGATGTTTAATCATACAGAGTAGTGAATACTAGCTGCAACTGATATACTCTGCACTTCTAATCTCTGCCATATGTCTATTATGGTTTTCGACACTATTGTGTTTTAAAATTAATAATATACCATTCCGAAGAATTTTTTGGAAAATTTAAAAGCGTATAGTGACATCTCCTGTAAAATTCTGGCCATGCCTATATTAAAACGGAGCCGATTACATTATATACGCGTCCTCGTAGTCTCTTTTCGTTTGAGATCGTCGCTGACAAAATCGCATACGAATAATACACACGACGGGGACGTGTAAACGATGTGTAGGTATATAAGGATACGAGCGTATATATTATATTGAAATATTAATACATATAAATATATACCTACGATCATCTTGTCGTCCTGGCGTAAATAAATTGCGTTTTCGCTCGAGTTTCCGAAAACGTTAATCGAGGGACTCTGTCGTATTTTAGAGAATTAGCATGAAATTATAATATTACGCAGTAGCATAAAATACAGACATTTTACCGAATTCGGGTTGACGCTCGAGCCTGGATTTGTATGCACTGCATAATATATAATAGCTAATATAACAATGGTGATAGTTTGGTTCAGAGGAGACGGATGCGGGAGAAGAGGTAAAGTCCATATTATAATTTTAAAATTTTAATACGACACTTTATAATAATATAACACAAACAATTATTGGTCATTGATGTAATATTGGTATATGTGTCGTCGATGTGGTATTTTAATGATTTTTTTAAATATCGTATCATTGATTAAATAATAATTAATATTTAATATTTTTAATAGTTTTTTATTAAATAATTGTATATTTTATCAATGATTGTATTATTAGACATCGCCTTAGGTAGACTAGTATGACACGCTTAAAAATAAATGGAAAAATGAAAAAAAACTGTCAACCAAAGTACAATTGTTGCCAAACATTTTACTATTTTAAGCGATGACCTGACCCTTATAGTTATGCCCAGATAAGTTTTCTACATGGTATGATAATATTATGTATGGCGTTTATTTTATTTTTATACTATGCTTATATAAAGAAAAATATTTGTTTTGTTTTTATTTTACATAAAAAAAAATAAAAAAAATAGGTGAAATGGCAGGATAACGGGTAGGATTGACGAAAATAGTCTCATAAAACTAGACTAATCCAAACATAAAAAGTTTAAGAAGTATAAAAAATGCTAATGTAAAATGTTTATAATATTATGAATATATAAATATATATATATAGTAAGGATGTAAATATTTGAAAATACATCATTACTTTCAAAAGCTACTCATACAAGATAAATAATATATAAAATCAAGAAATTATAAAAAGTTATATTTACAAAAAACCTGTTGTATCATAATTTATAAATGCGTAAAAAACATATGTTTCACGGTTTACGCACTAGAAAAGTTACCCTCGTCTGATACAGTTAAAAATCAATTTTTCATTTTAAAAGTCCCGACCGTTGTATCCGGGGGTGGTTCGCCGTTATAATGTATCGAATTGCCATATTATACGTCATATTATATTTTTAGATACTGGTGTCACTAAGGGTAGGCTGCACAAAGGGGACTGTAGTCATTGCAGTCATTGCACAAAAAGGTGATATTATTATATTTTCTAATCGACTAACTGCTGAGTTTTGATTAGATGGATTTTAATTTTGAAAATTAAATTTAATTAATTGACAAGTTTGTAATATTTTAATTGTAGTGATTTTTAATTAATGTAAAAACGGTTTTATTAATATTTTATTATTAAGTAAATAATTTAATATCACTTTTTGATAATATACAAGCACAAATACTTTTGAAACATGAAAATTTACTACGACTATAATAATATGGCATCTATCTAAACTTTTTTATGAATTGCAAATCGTTAAAATTAAAATCCATCGAACCTAAGTCTTATAGTTTAGCAGGCCATAGATATATTATTTATCTTATAAAATGTTGAACGGATTGGAAAAAGTACCATACTATTTATTGATATATACCAGCTAGCGTATATTAAGAACGTGCAGTAATTTAAAATCAATCAGCCATACGGACGATAAGCTATTTTCAATATCGAACTAAATGTATTACTTACACAAACTAATAAATACATAAAATTAATTTACTTTTTTCAAATATCGTCGTATAAATTCATCTAACATATATTTGTTCTCAAAACACAGCTGATTATATAGTTCC